CCTTCCGTGGTCACCTGGCTGCCCACCTGCACAGCTGCATGTCCCCTGCCTCTGGCTCCACCTGGGACACTTCCCTGTGCTGCCTTCACCCATCTCAGTGCTGTTCCTCGTGCTCTGGAGATGAGCAGGGGTAGCAGAGTGACAGCAGGACCGTGTGTGTAACGTTTGAGAGGCTTTTACTCCATGTTGTTGTTTTAATGAGATGCTTTTAGGATCCGTGCTGCACTGGTATTCTTTAACCTTCATTGCCACAGATTCTTTCTCCCCACCCTCTTCAATCAGATTGGCAAAATACATTTGGCTTGAAAAAAAAGCCCCAAACAACCCCAAACCCTGCTGATGGGATAAGTTACTCCTCTTTACTGTGCTTTGATTTGATTTCTCAGGATACTCAGAGGTTTTTCACTGCTGCTGAGAGGGGACAGTACACCTTTTTGGAGACTTCAACCACTGTAACAGTTTTCCAGATGTGTGTGTGCGTGTGCGTGTGTGTAACCCAGCACTGTGCGTGCGTGTGTTCTGCTGAATATCGTGTGCATCTCTGAAATGCTTCAAACAACTGCCTGGAAGTCAAAAACCAACCACCTCTTTCCAGTCATATGTTTGCCGTGACTTTTCATAACCACACTTGAAACTAGTGGTCTTGGATGGAAATATTCAAAGAGCAGGGCATCTTTATAGCAATGGTATGTCAGTCGAATTACGGGAAATGTACACAAAAATAAATAAATGAAATTTAAAAGTAACGTTCTCTCAGCCTACCTGTGTTTCCCTCAGTGCAAGTGCTACCAGTTGTGTTGGGCTGCTTTTGCCATTCCCATGGGAGGTTTTTGGGGATCATCTTACTCCCAACAGCTTATCATACATTACTGAAAGCTCAGGAATGCTCAAGCTGCTCGACAGGGATAATTGTCAGCCCTGCTGCCGCTGGTTTCCCTCTCCCTGCTCGGGCTGGCGGGAGCAGGCGCAGCCACATCCCGTCCAGCCCACATCAAAGGCACGGCCCGGAGGGACGGCAGCAGCGGCTTCCTGCCCCCAACCCTCCCAAAAATCAGCTTTTCCAGGGGTTCAAGGGGAGCCAGCCCCGTGCCCAGCATCGCTCTGGGGCTGGGCTCTGCCGGGTTGGAGGCTCAGCACCTCCTGGCAGTGCAGCCCGAGGGCTGGGCACAGCTGCTGGGCTGCAGAGCAGATGTGCTGCTTTGCTGCATTTCCCCAGCTCCTGCATCCTGCATTCCCCTGCCAGCCCCATCGCTGTTACCTGCCTTCCTTTCCACGGTGGCTCTCAGGCCGTGCTTTTGTCCTGATGCAAGGCCAGTGCTCTCCCTGGGTTTATTGTGTGAGCCAAACCGCTCTGCTGGAGTGAAGCGTGTTGGGCTGGTCGTGCTGAAACATGAATCGCTGCTTCCCTCCTCCTCGTGTAAATAAAATTATCCTTCCATTTATGTTAGAACTCAGAAAACAATATCCCAGCTCCCTCTGCTGATCCTGCAGTCCCAGTGAGGGCGAGAGCACTGGCTGCAGAGCTGATGTGCTGCACAGTGAACTCCAGAGTTAATAAAAAGCTTTGAGGGGCACAGGTTTTAAATGCAGCTTTGTAATGCAATTGTTTGTGTTGATGAAATGGCAAATGCTGTTTCCTCTGCCTCCCCTGCCTGTTTCATGTATGAAATTGTGAAGTAATTCCTGCATTATCACAACTAATGTCACATGGAAGGGAGGAAGAGAGCAAGAAAAGTTGAGGTGTGAGGAAAATCAGTGTTCCTCACCTGGAAGAAGCACAGAGCCTGGGCTGAACTCTTTGGGATTGCAGCAGGAATGTTATAACCCAGCAGTGGGAATGCTGGTGATGCAGAGATTGCCATAAAAATGTCTGAAGGGAAGAGTTGCAAGAGGCACAGACCCATTTCTGAGAGTCCTGAACTGAACAGCTGCTGAAGCTCTCCCTGCGCTGCACGTGCGTGTGTGTTCTGTTTAAAAGGAAGAAATTAAGAGCCATATTTTTATTTTATCAAATCAAATTACCCCTGTATGCTCAGAATATTTATGCATCAGTGCTTTTTTTTTATTAGGGCTTTATCTCACTGTAATCAATTCCAAATACTAACCTATTTTTATCGCTGTAATGCAGCAGTAATTTATAAGATGTAGACAGAACGCACACGAGATGCCAAAAGCAATTTTATGGAGCCTCTTTTGTTGTCATCTACAATGCATCAGCTCTTGCCTTCAGCCTCCCATCAATTTAAAAGCCCCAAGATGGAAAAAAAAATAAAAATAAATAAAAAGGAGCAAGTACAGTGAAGCAGCTGCCAAGGCCTGGAATAGCCTGAGATCCGTGTGCACCTTTGGGATGGAGGTTGATTGAACACGGCACAATAATGAAAACCGTGCTGGGCTTTGTAATGCAATTATCTGGGTTGAAAATGGCAGATCCTGTTTCCTCTGCCTCCCCTGCCTGTTCCATGTATGAAATTGTGAAGTCATTCCTGCGTTATCCCAACTAACATCACAGGGAAGTGAGGAAAAGAACAGGGAAAATTGAGGTGTGAGGAAGAGAAGAGGGAAAGTTGTGGTCCTTGGGGCTGAACAGAACTGCCCTTCATCTTCTCTTTTCTCCTCTTCCTTGGGAGCCCTCCTGGATGGGCACTAGGATTGGCTTTCAAAGTGCAAATATGCCAATGAGCATTCCAGAATCCCCGTCCCAGTTCTCACACCAGCCAGCTGCCTTTGAGCAGCTTCCACCAAGACCTTGTTTCCCTGAGGGACACCTGCAACACGAGCACCCATGGGTGTGTTCATGGCTGAGGTTCTCCAAGTCTTTCCAGTCAAGATCTTGCCCGTCAGACATCGCTGCTGCTCTCCCAAATTTTCCTGATGTTACCACGTGTTACCACTTCTGGTTCCAGTTCTAGCTCTCTGGTGCTGGAAGTGCTTGGGGGGATGGTGAAATCAATATAATGATTAGTGATTAGACAAATGGGAATGGCTTCAGAGTCACAGAGAGTAGGGTTAGATGGGATTTTGGGAAGGAATTCCTCCCTGTGAGGGTGGTGAGGCCCTGGCACAGGGTGCCCAGAGCAGCTGTGGCTGCCCCTGGATCCCTGGCAGTGCCCAAGGCCAGGTTGGATGGGGCTTGGAGCCACATGGGATAGTGGAAGGTGTCCCTGGACTGGATGATCTTTAAGGTCCCCCCCAACCCAAACCATTCTGTGAGTTTATAAATCTGTGAAGATGTTGCAATGTTTTTGAAACATACACTGCACCCAAAGATGATGCAGTTTATTGATGTTAAAGACACAGATATTTAATTCTGTTTCATTTACTTGCTGAATCCCACTAACAGACAATTGGAAGCACCTTCAGACTAAAAGCACATCCCATTTAATACCCAGTGATTGCTTTTAAGGCATGCATATAAATAGGTCTCTTTCAATAGGCTTCTATAAACCACAGGCACTGAAAATAAATGGAGGAGCATTACAGAGCATTGACAAATTATTGATGGCAAACATTACCAAGCCACCTTTGTTGTTTGCCTCCCCCTTTCATATTGGAGGGCTTTTGGGAAATAACAATCAAAGCAGCCCCTCCTGGAGGAATCATTACTAAAGCATTTTGCATGCAGATTACTTCAGGCCTCAGCACCGTGCTCGCTGGGTCAGGAGAGGAAGGCCAAGATTTGCTGATTGAGATCAGATGGCTGGTGGCGAGAAGGAATCTAGATGACTTAACTGGAGGGATTAGACTCAAGTCTTTTGGCTTCCACTTGGCTGTTTTATAAACTGCACAGTCGGGCCGCGTTCCCCTCGGCGTGTGCGCGGGGCGGCTCGGGGCACCAGCCAGTCCCTCAGCGCTGGCAGGGCAGCCCTGCTGGGTGAGAAAGGCAAAGCCAGTGCAGGTGGAAGCTAAAATTAGCCCCGGAGCTCCAGCCCTCGCACCTCCAGCCAGGCTGAGCCCGCAGCGCTCTCCAGCCCCGCCGTGGTTTGGTGGGCGACGCTGCGGGGCAGAGCTGCTGTTCCCAGAGCTCCAGCCGTGGTTCCCAGAGCTCCAGCTGCTGTTCCCAGAGCTCCAGCCCCATTTCCCTGCCCTCCCCACGGCCTCTGAGGTACCCAAACACAAGCAATGTCCCACAGCTGGCACCTTGTTGCGGGGCAGAGCCGCTGTTCCCAGAGCTCCAGCCGCTGTTCCCAGAGCTCCAGCCGCTGCTCCCAGAGCTCCAGCTGCTGTTCCCAGAGCTCCAGCCGCGGTTCCCAGAGCTCCAGCCCCATTTCCCTGCCCTCCCCATGGCCTCTGAGGTACCCAAACACAAACAGTGTCCCCACAGCTGGCACCTGGCTGCAGGGTGAGGAGCCATCAGAGGGTTTTGCTAGAGGCAGTTTGAAGCCTCACCCATTGGATGTATCCCCACGGGAGCAGATGGAGCTTTCTCCTTTCTCTCAGAGCCTAACCTCGGCCTCTGAGGTACCCAAACACAAGCAATGTCCCACAGCTGGCACCTGGCTGCAGGGTGAGGAGCCATCAGAGGGTTTTGCTACAGGCAGTTAGAAGCCTCACCCATTGGATGTATCCCCACGGGAGCAGATGGAGCTTTCTCCTTTCTCTCAGAGCCTAACCTTTAATTTTACAAGGCTGATTGAAACCAAGAGTGGAAATAAAAAGTCAGAGCTGCTCTGTTTTCCTTCCCCTCCCTTCCATTATCTTCTTTCTTTTCCATCCATCCTCGTTTCACATGCCTCTCGGATTGCGTCCCCCTGGTTTCCCAGTTATTTATTGACCCAGACCTAATTCCTTATTTCCAGAAATGTGTCATGAATCCTGCCTTTGAGTCATTTGCTTTTTGCTTTCCAGGCTCATCTCTTTGACCACGTTTTCCTGTGAAAGATAAGGATATAGGGTTTGTGGAGTGATCGCAGCAGGATGCCTGGGTTTCATTCATGGATCTGTTGCCACTGGCTCATTATGGAAAATTAGAAGAGTTATTTCACCTTTCAGTGCCTCACCTCGGTGTCACCATCTGTAAAACAAGGCTCATAATTGTTATCTCTTCCTCGCAGGAGAACTGGGGAGCTTCACTAATGACCATCTGCTAAATGCTCTCAGAGCCTCACATGAACATTTCTACTGAAGTGCAAATTATTATTAGAAACCAGGGATTGTTACTGGATTGATATCAAATCATTGTCGACAGCTTCTCTGCAGGGAAAACTTAGGCACAGCCAACAAGAACAAGCTGCATGTTTTGAAGTTGTGCAGTTGATTATGTTGGCTTTCATCTTCTGGTAAGAGGATCCTCTGCCATCTGAACTCTCTGATCTCCGGGAACACAATTCATCCAATCAATCTGGAGGAAAATAAACCTCTGCAGACAAAAACATTAAGTATCCACCTGAGATCAGATGAAGATGGAAGATGTTAATTAATTCCCAGCCCTTAACTCTTGCACAGCCAGAGCTTCCCTGGCCCACCAGGCAGTGCTGGAGGGGAGCACAGGACACATCCATGGCCCATCCCAGGCTTGCAGAGTCTCCTGGGCTCAGTTTTAATTGGAAACATGCAAATATTTAACGATTAAATTGGTGCCACTGAAGGCTCCTATGGATAGTCTGGGGGGTCACGTGCTGATCTCGTGGTCCACTCAGAGATTCCAGGTGCCAGCACAGATTCCAGCTGTGGCTGCTTCCAGATGAGGTGGTTTAACCCCAGCCCCAGCAGCTCGGCCCCACAGGGAACCAGAGAGAGAACCAGAGGGGTAAAACTGAGAAAACTTGGGCTGAGATAAAGACAGATTAATAGTCAGAGCAAAAGTCACACATGCAAGCAAAGCAGAACAAGGAATTAATTCCCCACTTCCCATGGCAGGCAGGGGCCCAGCCATCCCCAGGACAGCAGGGAGGACAAAGGCCATCACTCCAAATGTCCTCCCCTTCCTCCTCCTTTATCCCCTGAGCCTGACATGGATGGCCTGGGATGTCCCTGGGGTCACTTGGGGTCAGCTGTCCTGGCTGTGTCCCTTCCCAGCTCCTTGTGCCCCTCACTGGAGGGGTGAGGAGCAGAAAAAGCCTTGACTGTGCAAGCACAGCTCAACAGTGACAAAAACACCTCCAGGTTATCAACCCTGTGTTCAGCACAAACCCCAAACACAGCCCCAGAGTGGCCACTGGGACTAAAAAATCAACTCCATCCCAGTCAGAGCCAGCCCAGCAAGGATCTATCCTGGGCTGAGGGACATCCCTGCACCTCTGCTCAGCCTGACCCAGCGAGTTTCCTCCTGCTCAACCTCAGTGCTGGCAGCTAATGGGTTTAGTTGAATCTGGAGCTGACATTTAGGACATAAAGACACAGAACCCCCCCTGGGACCCCACTGGGGTGTGCCCTGTGTGCCCTGGAAGCTCCACTGGAAATATTACAGGGTGTTGGTTACGGTCTCTCAGCAGTGAGTTCTGCAGTTCTTCACTAACAAGGCACAAAATGGCCAACAATCTCTTGTTACAAGGTCTTTTAAGGCTAAACTATCCAATTAAGAAATGACACCTAAATTATTTTGACTTTTAACCCACTAACTGATCACTTGAAGTCCACAATGTGGACTTTTCTGTCCAAGTACACAAAACCACCCAAACCCATGGAGAAAGAGGAAGAAGGTGAAGAAGGAAGAAAGTGAAGAAGAAGGAAGAAGAAGGTGAAGAAGGACAAGAAGGAGCAGCCTCTGCCCTAAAACCTCCATCTTGCTCTATATCTATTACTGTATTCTAAACCCTTAAACTCTGAGTTTTCCACCCTGTGATATCACACACTTCTCTCCAAACTCCACACCCACAATCCCCGTTCAATAATTTAATTTTGGAAGCTTCTCCAGGGCCTCAGGTCAGTGCAGTGTTCTCCTGGGGGTCAGTGCCTGGCAGCACAGAAAGTCTCCAGTTCTCAGCAGCCAGGACTCCAACAGGGAACCTCTGCCTTCAGCCAGGGGAGCCTGCCACCCTTTTAGTGCCTGGCCTCATCTGGTTTTCCCAGAGCTGGGGATGGGGAGGGAGGATGGCTGGAGGCTACAACCCATCAGGGGGCATTCAATAGGGACAAACATCCCTACTGACAGCAGAAATGGGGCTGGGGGCTGTGGGGAGCAGACAGCTCAGCTCTGCTGTGACACCAAAACTGACAATTTACAGCTGGATAGGTTTAGGAACAGCCCCGAGTCTTCCTCCACTGACACCATTATGTTCCATTAGGGTCACTGTCTTATTTTGCAGGGTTTAAGTAAAATAAATATGGTTTAATGATGCTGCAGTCCAAAATCATCATTGGTGTTACATTCACACAACCAAAACAACACTGAGGGGAAAATGGGTGATGTTTTTGGGATCTACCTGGGGAAAATGGGTGACTTTGGGATTTTGGGAGCTGCCAGGGGTAAATCAGCATGGAAAAAGGGTGACTTTGGGATTTTGGGAGCTGTGAAAATGGGTGACATTTTTGGGAGCTGCCAGGGGTAAATCAGCATGGAAAATGATTTTGGGATCTGCCAGGGGAATATCAGCATGGAAAACGGGTGAGGCTGAGATTCTGGGAGCTGCCAGGGGAATATCAGCATGGAAAATGGGGGACACTGAGATTCTGGGATTTGCCAAAGGAATATCAGCATGGAAAATGGGTGACTTTGGGATTTTGGGATCTGCCAGGGGAATATCACCATCCCTGCACTGCACTGGGTCTCTGGAGACAGGACTTGATTCTCTCTGGCAGTGCAGAGCTTGTTGAAAATGGAAAAAAAAACCCCAAAATAACCCAGTAATTTTTTAATTAAAAAAGGATAATAACCTCTTGTGTTAAAACTGTGAAAATCAGTCTCTACATTTAAAAATGGGCTTGTAAAAGCATATGTGCCTTTTGGCTATTTCCTAGAATATATAGCTTTGGTCACATGGCTCTCATTAAGACACCAGAAAATGTTGTAAACTGGCATTTATAAGCTCACCATAGGAAATTTCTGTATTTTTATTTTGAATTTATAATCCCACTCCAAGATTTGCTGAAAGATATAAAACTTTACTTGAGGTTTTGGAAAGGGAATGATGTCTGAACAAAACAGTCTCCTTTTGGTAAAAACTCCCATCTGTTCAAGTTCTGACATGTTCTTCAGGCAAATAAGATTTTTTTTTTCCTACATGTATTAAAAAAACCAACAAAGCAGATCTGGCTAAGAGCACAGTCACTGATACTTTAACTGTTAATATTTCATAACATTGCATTTTTTAAAGGTAAAATTACTTAAAATACATATAAACACACTCTCTCCCATCTCTGCCGAGCTGAGGAGGCTGCTGTGGATCCCTGGGTGAATTTAACACTGAAAACAAGGAAGTTTTGGTCTGAAAATAAAAAGCAACATTAAAATCAAGGGAGATCTTAACCCCATTTTTTTACACTGAGGTTTGAATAACACCACCCCAGCTTGTAAATAACATCACCAGATGGAAACTCCCCTGTTTCCCCCGAGCTCGCATCTCTGGGCACGGATCAAAATTAGAAATAAAACAAACTAATTAACTCCTACAAGGATGAAACCCGCTGGTGCCCGTCATCCCTGACAATCCGAGGGATCTGGAAGCAGCAGGTTGTCAGAGCAGCCTGCAGGGCTGATTCCAGCAGCTCTTTCCCGAGCAGGCTGCAGGTGGCAATACATTTATTCCTGATGTCTCTGCCTGAGAGCCCCGGGCTCCGGGAGGAGGAGGAGGAGGAGGTTGCTCTCGAAGACTGAATCCATGGGCAGGGAAATCTCACTGCAGGGAAAGGGGCAGGAGTGCTGGAACCCTGCTTACTGAGAATTTTAAATTTTCTGTGCTGCCAGGCACTGACCCCAAGAGAGCACTGCATTGACCTGAGGCTGTGGAGAAGGCTTCCAAAATTAAATTAGAGAACTGGGATTACAAGCATGGAGTTTGAATAGAAGTGTGCAATACCACATAGTAGAAAACTTAGAGTTTAAAGCTTTTAGAATAGAGTAATAATATATATATATACGCTATTATATACATATATAATATTATATATATATAATGTATATATAAGGCAAGATAGAAGTTTTAAGGCCGAAGTTACTCCTTCTTCTTCACCTTCTTTTTCACCTTCTTCTTCATCAGTTTAGTGTTATGTAATTAGATAAAAAAGTCCACATTGCAAGCCACAAGTAGTTAGTTATTCAGTTAAAAATAAAAATAATTTAAGTGTAATTTCTTAATTGGAAAGTTTATCCTTGAAAAACCTTGGGGGGGAAGAGAGAGATGGGGCTCCATTTTTAGTTTGTTAGAGTGAAGTGCTGTAGAACTCATAATTTGTGAAGCTGTAATATAGATAAAAACGAATAAACATCTAAGTCCGAACAAGAAATACCCTCTAGCACATTTAATCCCAACCCTGACAAAAAAACCCCAAAAAATCTCAACATCAAGGAGGAGATCAGGTGGGTTTCCTCTCAGTGGGAAGGGCTCCTTTCTCCGTGTCACCCTCCCAGCCTGTCCCCAGCACTGGAATTTGTGTGGTGCCAGGAGCTGAGTGGAGAAATCAGCTGGGAGATGAGCAAAAGACATCCTAAAAGTGGAAAAAAATGAAATTAGGCATTTTAATTCCCCTTCCCTAACCCCATTGTTGTGCTGTTCCCCCAGGAGCAAGAATCCAGACTGGCAGCTCTCCCTCCTTCCTCAAGGAAGATTAGGCAGAGCAAAACTCAGATTAATTAATTGGATAATGATTTATAACATCCCTGAGTGTTTTAGAGAGCCCTCACAGTGTCCACGCAGCAATCCCACTCCAGCAGAGCTTTCTCATAGCCAAAGGCATCTCTGAGGGGATTTTCTGCTGGGGTTTTGCTGCTCAGCCCTGGGGCAGCGTTTTTAATCCTGGGAGATGGAGGGGACAGCCTGGCACCACAGCCTGGGGATACTGGAAGGGAGAAAAATCCCTTTCCATGTGGAGAAATGCTTTTGGAAATGGGGCAGCTCTGCCAGGAGGGCAGGGAAAGGCTCTGATGTCACCAGGAGCTCGGGCAGAGCAGGGATTTCACCTGGCTGAGCCACAGGGATCTGTCTG